CAAAGTGGGTGGGGCGAGTCGAACGGGCAGGCGGCGCTTGCCGATAAACGAAAACCAGTGGGCCTTTGCCGATGTTTCGGGGACCATGAGTGGGAGACCATCTACTCCCATTAATTTTCTTTCGGTTAGGGAAGAAAATTTGCCTTTTATAAAGACCGTAACAATGGTGAAGTGTTTACTGCATTCTAAAGAACTTCAGTATGTTAAAAAGTTCCACCGACAAAGACATTACGCACCTTTGGAACTCAGAGAAACCCGCGAGATAAAAATAATTTCGGAGAATTTACAGATAGCCTGCAATCAGGAAATGAAAAAAGAATTTAGCAGATAGAAGATTATGAAAATGGAATTGAAAGTCACGAGGATTTACAACAATCTCAAACAAAACTGTACTGTAAAAATAATCGAGCCTGGAATGCAAATTCTCTCACGTGACCCCTTCTGGGTGTCTATTTGTTAGCACTAACTACACAGACACACAAAATAATAGAAAGTTCAGACCCGAAGACGATGTATGTCGACGCGCTGATCCCGAATTTTGAGCCAGAATTGCGTCATCACTCTTTTTTGAAAAAGTAATGGAAACATGTATTTAGTCTGGGTTTTTTGTTGTGTGGTTTCTTTTTGTTTTTGACTTATTTAAATTTTTGTGTGTGCCTGTGTTATTGGATTGGGACGAACTAAAGTTGTTATATTATACATTGTATAAAGTATTGCATTAGAATATTAAAACTGTCTTCTTCAAAACTGTGTTAGAAGAATGGAAGTAGAATTACAGAACTGGTTATGATAAATAGTTGGATATTGCTTTGTTATGAAATAATCTACGTTCTATTTTTTTAAATTTCATATTTTATTGAATTGAATTTTATTGAAACTTTGTGTGAAAAGTTGTTATAAAATAATCTTTCTATTATTTTTGTTAATTTTTCATATTTTATTGAATCATAAGCACTTAATAATAATTACCAATTAAAAGACGTCATTCTCGAGCGAACCTTTTCTCCCCACTTCCGTACCATCATTGGAACACTGTACGCTCGCCACCGAGTCCGACACAGCTTTGCTCTGTAGCTTGGCTCCGAGCAGGAGAGCCGATTTTTGTGACGTCACAGAGCATTGAGTTGGCAAGCACTGGCCTAAACCGTTCAGCCAATTTCCTGCAAAATTGAAATTCCCCGATTGATCTGAACGAACTCGGTTTAGGAGTTTCCAACGAATATATTTTGAGTTTTGAGGGTCATGAAGCCTCTAAAACATTTTCAAAATTTTCTCAAAAACGGCACCACATTTTTTTATAACTTTGTTCTCTGATAATGTAAAGGACTCTTAAAAGTGGGGTTTCTCTCGTGTGAATTGAAATCCCTGATATTTCGAAAATTGCAAAATGCAATTTTTTTAACATCTTCCCACAACAATAATATGGAAGATAGATACTATCCTTAATGAAATCTGTTCTTTAAAAGATCTTGAAATAAG